CGTGGAGGCAGCTCTGCACCGATTGCTAGAAAGAGGGATTTGATTAGTACGTATCAAGGCACTCTTGTTAGCGGTTTTGTAAACATTTCGGTCTACTTTACCAAATTAGCGAATAATTTTAAACGTAACGATAGATTCTTTAAAAGAATTCAGATTCTTCTCGTAATTCAAACTGAAAATTAGTCAGCTACTTCTTTTTTTTCAGACCCACTGGCTTATGCAATCTGCCATACACTGTTCTTCGAGTGGAGATGATTCTAGAAAGTTATGCGAAAGTTTATTCTAATCAATTCACAACTGGAAATAACCCACTTCCAGCGGCAGTGCGGTACAGTGCCCAACAATAAGAAACTACAAATATATAAATTACTTATCACATGCTAGGTAACCACTGTACGTGTCTCGTGTGAATGTAACTGAGGGTCTCAATGGGGTGGTTGCTTTTACGGTTATCGGCTAAAAGTTTGGCTCTTTTACAGCTATCGGCTAATTTTTTCCAGTTACGGTTAACCAAAAAGTTAAAAATTAACTTTTTTTGTTTCAAAAGTTAAATATTAATTACCCTGTATTTTTCGTATCTTTAAACTGAGCAAAATAAAGGTCTTAAGATCATTTCTGAAATTATTTTACACATAGAAATGTCCATAGTCAATTTAAAAATAATCTTTGTGAAGAAGCAAAGCACACAAGCGAACGCCCAACTCAAGGCCGGGGCGCGATATTCATTACGACAGAAATGGCCGTTTTCACACGAGAGACGGATTATTCGGTTATCCGTTTAATGATTCGCGTCAGATAGGTAAATATGTCTTAATTTGAAAATGGAATAGTTTTAATTTTGAATGAACAATCGGCCTGTTCCAGATAGCCTGTGTACAGCCGCCCCCTCCCCTCAAAAAAAAAAATCGAAGAAGGGGTGTCTGTCGGGAAGGGGGCGACTGTACACAGGCTAGTCTCAGACGGATAATCCGTTTCTAGCTCTAGTGTGAAAACGGCCATTAACAAATTCCCGTGTCCAGTGTTTTTAATGATAGCGAAGGACTGTACCGAACCACTGTCAGCCGTTGCCTTGTCCGTAGGCCTCATTATTTCGCGCGGCTAATGCGTTTCGGGTCACCTGGTCCGAGCGAGTTCGCCACCGAAATGCCTTGACCGAGATTGCATGGGAAGACGCCGTACAGGGACTAGGCATGGCAATGTCTACCGTAGCGTCAGAGAAAAACAGGGAAATGTTGTTTATCGGCAACGCAGGGGCGGATCCAGGATTTTTCTTAGGAGGGGGGTGCACTCGTCTCTTGCTCTACTTCAACACCAATAAACCACAAAGTTTTTTTTTGCAGAATATCAGTTGTATTAGAAAACCGCAGGTCATCTCGGGGGGGGAGGGGGGGTGCGCACCCCCTGCACCCTTCCCCAAGATCCGCCCCTGCAACGTGTTTTACAAACAGTGAGATCTCTGCGTGTTGTTTCACTAGTGTTTCGAGGGCACGACCTTCTGAAAATCGCAAATATTAATCCCCAGCAAGAAGCCACACTTTGGCTATGGAAAAAAATATTAGTTCCCCGAGAGAGCGGCGGAAATGGAACCAGGGTCTTGGTCAACACCTAAAAGGCGCTTTACCTAACGCGCGTACGGAGTCACAATAGCCGGGAAACGCAACCATAAGTGAGTTTAGTACCTTCCTTAAAAGTAGCAAATCTAGGGGAACAATTTCTTCCACGGTTAACTCTTTTTTACCCTATTTACGGCTAACGGTTAAAGGTTTTTAATTTTTACGGCTATCGACTAAATTTTTGGCCGTTTTACGCCTATCGGTTACCCCCATTGAGACCCTCGTAACTGGATTATTACGCCGACTTCAGGTTAATATTCAGGTCTTTAAAATAATCAAATAACTATGGAGACGTCTTTAAAAACTGGCTTTGCCCAAATTTTCTCTTGCTGCCCAAAAAAACTGAGTTGCCCAAAATTTGGGGGGGCTGCAGGCCCCCTCGCCCCCCCGGCCCGTACACCTATGCTGTTATCCCTCTTTCTTTTTTGAAGGTAACAAACATTTCTTTAGATAAAAAAAACGTATTTCCTTCTTATTTGAAACAACTTCGTTTGGAAGCCTAACCTAAAGAACAGGAGCCGACTGATTTCTTTTAAAGAATTAGACAAAGTATCCTCCCCTCCGCTTAATTTTTTATTTAACAAGGAGAGAACAAAAAGCTTCAAAACTTGTAAATTTTGTTAACGAAAACAATAACTTATAGTTAACGTAAAGGCCAAAACCATATCTCGAAAACTTACCTGACGAAAATTGCAGACAACAGCCATTTGACAGAAAAAAAGGCCAAAAGGCAAGTTGGCCTTGCCTGTAAGCCCGAAAAATACTTTAGGAATAAAAAGAGCGAGGAGAAAGAAGGGAGGAGGAGAGAAAAGAAATTGCACTCTTGGCCTTAATTTGTACAGTGGGTCCCCGTTAGCAAGGTCACCAATGTGCCCAAAAAATGTGGCCGTATTAACTAGGGTTTTTTGTACAAGAAAATGTATGGCGGTTGTTGCCAGGCGGCCAAAAAAGGTGGTCTTTTTATGCACCTATCAATGTAATGCCGGCGGGGGGAGTGGGGGCGGGGGAAGGCAGGGCATGGGGTGGGGATTTGACTTTTTTCAAAAATTTGCAACCAAATTCCCTGCCCACGGGCAAATCATTCCAGTCAAATGCAACCAAATTTACCCACCTCAAGCTGCACATTGCTGTCAATCCCAAGGCAGGATCCAAGAAAGGCACAATCAAAATATCTCCAAATTAAACTATGCAATCTTTTATAAACGTTGCTGCATCACCAAAGATAGTGTTCCTGTTACAGCTGCAATTATGCGAATGAGCCATACACAAATCAATTGTACTTGCAAAGTCGACTTGTTTACTCTTTACTTCCGTTTACTTTGATACCACAGTATTTCAAGAGGTTCAATTGATCAAAACACGCTAAAACAAACGAAATTTGAAGACAAAACAGTGAAATCCACTCAGCCTTTGCTTGTTCTCATTGGCCTCCATGACTTCCTGATCTTTTCAAACCGTACGGTGCATGCGTGAAGCGTGGAAGCGGGAAACATATGCTCGGTGTCAGTCTTTTTCGTCCGAGTCGGCGGTCAAATATCTCCACGTCGGGCGAAGAAAGATTCAAATATCCCCTCCCCTGGTAGAGCAAGATCAGTCAAATGCCCTACCCCAGGGCCAACAAAGACAATCAAATCCCCACCCCATGTTGGAACTGCAGGACAGAGAAAAAATAATGTAAAGAAGATCATAGCAGTTAAAGATGCAACTTCTGCACTTGCAAAAAAAAGGCCTGAAAAAATTCAGTCTTGCTGGGGTTTGAACCTAAAACCTTTGAAGAAAGAAATAAATAAAAAGATTAATAAATATCAAGAAGATCATCCAGGCAAGACTGATTTTTTTCAGGCTTTCTTTTCACAACTCCATATTTATATGCTGCATATATTCATTATTTCAAGAGATTATTAGGTAACGTGTTAGGGAAGTGGCAGCAAGAAAGCAAGGACACCGTATGATAAGAGTCAAGCAATTATATTCATTAATCATTACCTACAACTTTGTACAATAGGCTATTTATCTTACGACTAAATGGAAATGTGACTAAAACGAAAACAGAAGGGATAAAAATGAATCTTGTTGGCAGCCACACCTGAGAGACTACAGGCAACCGACTCTCTCTAATCTCTCCCACAGAGCCGTTCTTTGTCTCGATACGCAACGTTCTTCCCCACTTTGTGCCGAGACAGAACAGCTGCGTACAACACAAATTGATCTTGCGATCTTTGAAAGAAAAGACAACAGCATACATCTTGATTGCGATTAATAATTAAAACTATTCCTTTTAATTTTACAGCGACGAGGTAGTAAATGCTGTTATCAGCCGTTTCTTATATGCAGCTCTCATTCAAATATGTTAGCATCCAACCGCTGCCGAAGCAGGGTTTATTTAGTGAGGCAATGAGCCTGAGGTATTTCCGCAATTCAAAAAAATGCGCAGAAAATCGTTTTAAAATCTCAATAATTACCGTCTGTTAATTAGATTGAAGTGAGAAATCATGGGTCGATTTAATGAAACTTAAACTGAAATTTACAAGTGTAGGTATTGTTTTCGAACCCTAAATCAATCTCTACACTTGTAAATTGCACCTGTAAAAGCTTTCTTTAACTGACCCATGCAGGAGTTAAGTGTGCGACTCGTGTTTTTAATATCAACCACGTCTTGTTTCATGCGCTAACAACAGGCCTTATCACGGTTTTGACGAGTAGGCAACCGCGTGAGAAATTACAGTGTTTGTATGAGAATCTAATGTCCAAAAATTTCCCTAAAACGGCTGTTCTGAAAAAAATATGAATTGTAAACAAAGTTTTCACTCCTAACGATTATTCTGAAAAAATTTGAGGTCGTTACATGCAGCTATATGCGTTAGAACCACTTTTTAAAATTTTCGATACACTTGCCTGTAAACGTTTCCCGAGAAAAAATTGCAGACAAAATATGTGGAAAATCTGAAGCAAGCGTATGGAGAAATTTAAGCACAGTAACGGCCCCCACAATTTGATAGCAAAATCCTTTGCTGTGTAGCTTTAGTTTACAGTTCATATTTTTTCCAAAAAAGCCGTTTTACGGAAATTATTCCACATTAGATTCTTATACAAAAACTGTAATTTCTCACGCGGTTGCCTACTCGTCAAGATGGCGTCGAAAACCGTGATAAGACCTGTATGGTTTAAGAATACCGAGCGCCCTAATTGGCCGGCATTTCTAAGTGTAGAATAACCCCTGCCAAGTCAGAAACATTTCCCTGGAATGTCCATCCAAGGGTGGCAGAATGAAACATAACTTTCACTATAAATTTAAACACTGACGCAATATTCTGTGTTCACTTTTCAAAGTTCACTCCTTTTCAAGGTTTCTTTTTTCTGAAATTGAAAAAAAAAAAAGATAATTAGCTATAAACGTAGGGAGGAGCCTTGAAAGGCATGATTCACACTGGAAACATAAGACACTCTAAGGTAAGACAAACAAAGAAGGTATTGGCATAAATAACGTGAAGAAAAACTGGTCACTTAATTCTTCCACAAGTAGTATTTTCACTTTTTCAAACGTTACCCCTGCGCGCAAGTTGAAGCAACTTTGCTATTATATATTAGTAAAATCCAACTACTGGTCTATTATGAATGCTGCGTTCTGATTGGTTGAGCTACTACTAGGCTATATGTTATAGCCCACTAGTAGCGAAAAGCACGGGCTTTTGGCGGCAAAAAGGGATTAAAGTCCAGCTTTAACTAGCTAAAATTTTCTATTCTCGATATTTTTGACCAACTAGTTGGATTTTACTAAAACAATTATTCCTCTCGCCCTCATGGCCTCTGAGTCAATAGTCCATGAGGCCGAAGGCCCATCCGGGCTCGAGGAATAATTGCTAAATAGTACGTACTTAGATGCAGTGTGGCTGTAACTGGGGCCCATTCCTGGTCGGCCTTCGATCGCTGTGGAACACTGGAAGTACAAAAAAAGTACAGCTTATCAGTAGGGTTGAGTACAGAAATTCTGAATGCGCCAATGCCCAAGGGCTAAGGGACCCCAAGGTTACAAGGAAGAAACAAACACTTCAAGGCTACTTTGGGGTTCAAAAATAGATACAAGGACAAACAATATCAAGATTTGAGTAGCCGGCCACGCCTTCTTGAGAGCGAGTTGGAGTGACAAACAACTCCTTGAAACAAACGTTAGTGCATGAAGGAGGCTTAATGAAACAGTCACAAATCCGGCAACACCAATTATAGTCAGGTGGTGAAGAATTATATGGAACTCGTGCTTACCCTGGTTTCTACATCCGTCCAACTGGAGCGGCTATCATCATCGATTGAATCAGACGCTCGCCTTTTCCTGTAGTATTCAAACAGACAGTGGGAATTACAAGACAATCACATAGAATCATATTTGATGCTCTCAGAGTGTATCTAGATTTTGGTATCGATACAGTGTTCATCTTGTAGCTCAAGTTCTAAGAACTTTGTGAGGCATGAAGCTCTAAGATTAATACAGTATAACACCAATTTCTATCCTGCTGTGTGCAGAAGACTTGATCAATGACAGCACGGGAAATTTCCTCACTCTTCCACTCCCTGAGTGACGAATGATGGAGGAAGTCCAGTTGTAAGGAAGTTTTACCTGTTGAGTCTGTGGATGAAATGCTGCAGTGCCCGCCATCCTAACCTCTTTAATAGTACTATTTCAATATTTTACCAAATTCAATTGGGAATTTTTGTATACTTTTCAAATTGGCCACTCTAGTGAGAAAAAGTGTTCAATGTAATCACTACCAAAAGGTGTTACAAATACAGCAGCCAGACTTTGTAACGACTAGTACAAACCTTCCAGGACTTGTAAGTTCATCAGATCTTGTTTTCAGAGTTTCAACTTCTGTAAACTGAATAGAGTGACCTCCTCCCACTGTTTGGAAAACGTCGCCCTGCCAATCGCATCAAACTTGAATTATCCTTAACAGAAATAGAAGGCGAGCTTCCTAATCTCACAGTAGGGAGCTTAAGCAACGACGATGGCGACGACCATGAGAACGGCGAAAAAGCAATAGGTTCCGATAAGCAATGCAACAACATTGCACGTACATCACAATTCTTTGTAAGTTTAATTGCCGTTGTTGCACGATTACGACTTGAAACGTCCTGGTCTTACGTTTCATGGAGGACGTGAACTCAAGACAACAATTTTCTTTTTCGGAACTAGGATACAGTCCTTTAGAATCAACTCCGTCATAACTGTTCTACTGCATCCGGTGACGGTTCGCTTACAGTGATGCCCATTCAAAACCAACGTTTGAAGTCACATGCTAACAATTAAATGCAACAAGAGGATAAACAATTTTGGACTCACTTTGATTAACTTGGTCTCTATTTCACCAGCGGAATCTTCCTCCTGATGAGCCAAAACATAGTTTGTGGCCTGCATGTTGAAAAAAGAAAAACAGTACATGTAGCCAAGTCTGTTAGGAGGAACACAGCCTGTGAGCAATTTATGGCGAGCGAATCGAGCTGTGAGAGAACGCCGAGGAAGCGAGCGAGCAAGCGAGCGACGAAATCATGAGAGGCAGAGGAAACGGAGTCCCTTGGACTAGCGTCTCCTTTCGCGTTCCGTCATGTGACTTATTGAGACTCCCCCAAATGGAGCCGGAGCTTGTTCGGAGGCTAGGAGGAACACAATACACTCAGGCGCATCATCAACTTACGTGAGTCTGTCTGAAGTCCTTCTCATCTGGTCTATAAACAGTTTTCTTGTTCCTGAGTGATGGCTTGAGAACGGTATCTGTCAAGACATTGGTGATAGTAAATAATAAATACCGCAAAGAAATTATCCTCTCCTTAACAACCTTAACAGCCGAGCTACAGCAAAGATATACTCGTATTATCAGTTAAGGCGCGAGAACAAACAACGTCTGCTGATGGGTTTTCAATTTACAAATCAGGTACTTTATACGATTCGTGAAACCAAAATCGAGTTAATTACTCTGATCAAATTTAGAAGGCTGGAGGTGGACCGCATCTAATGAGCCAATCAGAATGACGGCGGCACGCAAACGCAGAAAAGCTCGTACAGCCGTAAGTAATTTCCACGTTGATTGAAAACATTTTTAAAAGTATACCTTCAGGTGGATGTGACGTACCTGTTTCTAAGTGTGTGGCGGGTTTGTGTTCTATCCAGCAATCCGATGATTTTGACCGTCTATGACGTGATTTAATGGGTGGCTGAAATGTAACCAAGATAATTCAACACTTACTGTACAACAAAATATAGCCCAACACTTTAAATGATAATCTGTGTGATTGAGCCACATTTCCAACGAAACCATTGACCATGCCCACACGACAAGTCGAGTCTGTTCCAACCAGCAATGATATTTTACCCATTTCATATCTAAACGGAAGTAGACTTACTAACTTGCTACAAGTCGACCTCTCAGAAGTTCTTTAAAGCGAGTGAAGTGTGTTTCAATGAGGTATAGGACTCTTGGAAAATAAGCATCAGGTTGAATACATAGTAAAGGCCATATTTTTAAAAGCTACTGTCAAGTCAATGACACCATCTAACCCAGGGACCTTTACTACCTTTCTCGCCACGGGCGGTGGAGACTTGGATCGAGGTACAGCTGCTGCTTTGGCCTGGGCACGAGTTAACGTTCTTTCGTTTGGTTTCATGTTCTGAAGGAATAAAACAAAAAACATCCAGTGTCAAACACATTCAACTGGAATTTCAAAAACAAAGATACTTTAGCATGCCTTTTATTCCTTCTACTTCAGTACAACTGTGCCACATTAAAACCTATCGTTTGATCCAAAGTTGTTCATATTCTACGGGCCAGCGTCATGTTTCAGCCTGGAAAAACCATTCTGTATCTACCTACAATTGTAGGTCAAGCGGATAAATTTAATGTGACCATTTTCATACAGTTTAGGACTTTTTTTGTAGGTCTAGGGTCTTGTAACAGGCTTGCGAGAGACATGTTCGCGGCATACCTGAACGATCTCCTTGAGCTGTCGCAACTTTTCATCCTTCTGCCACATTTTGGCCTGCATCTCCATCTCTTTGTCTTTAACCCGTTTGGACTATGTAATAAAACATTTCAAAGCGTTAGTAAAGGCTGTTAAGGAAGCTCTGCCTTTCATAGGGTCGGAAAACTGAATAAGATAAATAAAACAAAACTTCCCCCATAATAATGATTAGAAAGGAGAGGATTACAGTATACAAAATATAGTCTATCTGTTTCCAGTAGCCCTTAAACAAGCTCTTTTTAAGAAGAGTAGAACAAAATTGAAGTCAAACATGATGTCTAAGGTTCAGCCTGTGAACTTGTTTGATTGTCAAATGCTCTAGCTGGGCTACCTCTGTAACCTGTCAACAGGCTTTTTCCTTTCCCGGACCCGTCTCTCAGGCAAGTTCCTCTCTCGAGCGGCCTTTGTTTCGTGTTATTCCCATCCGGCCAACCCAGGGAGGTCTTTTAACTGTTTAACACTTAAACGCATCAATCAAACCCTTCACACTTACACATTCTCGCTGCCATTTGTCTTTTTCTTGTGAAACCACACCTTTCAAAGCCTTACGAGAGGAAAAGAAAACAAGTTTTAAAAAAGCAGCTTTTAAAGAGTAGTATGTGGCGACAGGCAAAAATGACGCAGCAAATGAATGAGAGTTATATTCTGTTTATTATCGGCGAAAAAAAAAAGAAATTTCTCTCGACACTGTGCTAGCAGGGAAAGCTGAAAACAGTGTAAACCCACTTTTTCTTTTGGTTCTTTATTCTTGTAGGAAAGGCAAACGTTAAAATTTGTCGCGTCGCAGGTTGATGCCAATAACGCAGAAAAGGGTGTCGCCTTTAGTTGGCTCTTTAGTGGGAAAGGAGCCCAGATAATGCGTGTATTAACTGAAGCAAGAATATTGCCTTCATTCTCTCTAATTCTCTTAATTAAGAGGCTGCTTGTGCAAATTTGACATCTAATAATCCTAACCTGTCTCATTTTGACTTTGTCATTTTTTTCTTTGTCTGCTCTTTTCTTCTGATCATCCAGCTGGAAAAAATATGAATCCGAGTCATACAAGCAATTTAGTAATCATCGAACAATGCAATGAGAAGATCATTAAAGTTATTAGGACATGAAAAGTAAGTTGTAAAACTGAAATACGATACAGTGGCACCTTGACAACTCGAACTCTGGATAACTTGAACTCCCCGGCCCGCTGACTCGAACTATATAAGTCTTATTTCCCTGGGATTTCACTCAATTTTCAGTCATTTTTACTCGGTTAACTCGAACTAAATTTCCTTTGCCTTGATCAAAATTTCACTCCACTCGGAAGTCGTCCCATTACCTCCTCTTATCGTAAAATCGGTAGAAACACTAAGGGCACTTTTCATGTGTCAGAAATGAACGGCCAGAACATTCCCGTCGTTATAAGAATTTTACTTTTAATCAAAACTATCCAGCCACATCAGTCAAATCCTAAATTAGTAGTATGCACGAACGAGATGGTCTTTCAGCAAAAACCCGTTTGGAGAAAGCCGATTTCATTTGGTAACTGACTGGTCTGGCAGGCCAGTTCTGACAAATAGAAAGCGCCCTAAAAGTAACCCTACACAAACTTGTCTTAACTAATGCAACGAAAAGATCACGTTTTATCGTAAAAATCCATAATCATGTCACCGTTCTTAATGAAATAAGTAAATTTGCACTGCACTATGCACTGAAATGCCAAATAATCAGTTACTGTCAATTACTAACAGTGACAATCGAGCCCCGGCTAACCCGAACTGTTTTCCCTTCAGAGTTCGAGTTACCAGGGTTCTACTGTATGTTAAAACCAGATTCGGCTTAACATCGCCTCCATCACTGCCAACCGACCGAAGCCATTGCCAAGACGTTGGTTTCCCTGCACTCGAAAGCCGTTTTGAATCAAATCTGATTTGGTTACAAGAGCTAATCAGCTCTAGTCAGTTGGTTATTATTTATAGTAATTCAACGCTGATTAAATAGTGTCCTTGAATTTTCAATGAGTTATTTAATAGAAACATGACCCTGAATCTCTATACCATAAAAAAACGACATCCGGGACATTGAGAAGTGGTCCCGTGTTCGGGCGGAGTCGGTCAAAATAAACCTTAACGTGTTGACAGATGCATTAAGCTTCTTGCACAAGACTTTGTACCTCGTACTGAAGTTCTTTCTTGTCTTGCTCGTACAGCTCAGCTGTTTTCATGAGCATCTCGTTCTACGGAGAGGAAAATCATGACATGATGAGGTACTTCTGAGGTTAGCACAAAATAATCACCTACAAATAAAAACCGTTTAATAATACACACTATATATACCTTTTGTGACAGAGCCTTCAACCTTCTTTCAAGCTTCTGTATGTCTCTAGAAATAACAATCAAAAAAAGAGTTACCTACATATATGCAACTGAACTTTATCTATCCTCGAAGTTGTAGGCTGCGAATACAGCAACCCCTATCGCTCTCCGCCGTTTCCAGCGCAAAAAAAAAATTCGAAGAGAGACGTCTTGCCTCCAGTGGCGAGGAGCAAGTAAAGAGGCTACCAACATCAAGAGATAAATCACTGTGCTAATGTCTTACAGTATAGTAGAGGGACACAACAGGCGAGCTCTCTCTTTTTCACAAAGCAACTTTTTGTAAACAAAAAAATTTAATATTTAGAAATAAATCAAAAGGTGGTGTGCTTAGACCACTACTAAACCCGGCACTTCTTTCTTGGACCACGCTCTCTCAACCTTCCTGTCTCTCTCGCAAGCCTTGGTTGGCGCAAAAACAGCCCTAAAACTTACGTCTATCTGTTCTTTTAAATACCTGTCTTTCTCTTCAATCGTTGCCTTGAGGTTTGTAATAATCTAAAGGACAAAAATCGATGGGAGAAGAAAGAGTTTAGCTCAAGCCGATAGACCAGCAAGATTGTTTGGTAAGCGCTTATCACGAATACAGAATGTTGAAGTCCCGAAAATCACGGTGGAAAGTGCAAACTGGATAAAAACCTGCTGAGTATACCCATGCAGGTGTACTTCAAAACGACGTCAATATATACTTACCCCATTCGCTTGGCTGTTTTCCTTTTCTAATTCTAAGAGATGAGCCCTGAAAATTCCCTCTGCAAGAGAAAGAAGGAAAAAGGAATTGATGTGACCCTTAATGACAAGTCCAAGGAAAGGGTTCACATACTGATCAAGGATGTTCACTTCAAGTGTCAGATAATCAAAACTTCACACATTGATTTACCCTTCCTTGACAAATCATCTATGAGGGTCTGCCTTCGCCTTTGTCTATCTTGAAGGAAATTTATCAAGGTTATCAACGTGTTGTTATCTTCTGCAGAATTCAGCTGCAATGAAATGAGTTCAAAACGTAAGATACTATACAACAGATTAGCAATTATTAAAACTCAACAAGTTCGTCCGAAAGAAGAAAACAAAAGTAATTCACTCACTTCAAACAATGGAAAAGGTGGGCCCATAGTGTGCAGTGGTTTGGCTACGATCACTTCATCTACAAAAGAAAATCAAAATGGACAAAGGAGTTTCGCAAAATGCCTTTCTTATTGTTTATGTTCAGTTTATTGGGCAAATCACACATAGTGGATTACCTTTATTGCCATTCTCCTCAACATGAGCAAGAACTTCCTTGTACATTTGATTCGCTATGAAAAAAAGAGAAGAAATTTAATCAAATTATTGTTTTGTGGAAAGAGTGAATGGTGTTAAGGTGAGAAACAGGGATCGATGCGTATTTGATTTGTTCTTACACGTTCAAATATGTTTACACCTTACAATGCAAGATATTTAAGTTACAGTTTTAACATTACCCTGGCCTTTTTCTGAGGGAAATGACAAGTCATTTTTACCTTTATTTGCAGCACAGTTTGCGGCTAGTTTTCTCATGCTTTCCAATGAAATCATGCAGTAGACATCTTTTATTTTAAATTTGGGTATTTTTAGTACTTGGGGTATTTGCATGTCTCATGATTTTCAGATGTTTGTTGAGGTGAATTTTCTCTTTGCACGCTTCTGCCCATTTCCACATGCTGTATTTTGAAATAGTCTTTTTACATGTTTTTGGTCACAACTGTAATGGATTTAAGGAGTGTTTAGCCAATCATCTTTGATGAAGATGCTTCACAACTCCAGTATTTTGACCTCTTCACATAATTCTGTAACAGAAACTTTAGCCGGTAATTTTGTGAGTGTTATTTTATAAGTTATGGTAACGAGTGAGTGTTTTGTAATTTTTATATCACTTGCCTTTTTTATATTGACGGGATAATCTAGGTTTCACAAAAAAATTTGGGAAAGAGAATTGATTTGGCCAAACAAACTCAACGAATTTTATGCTAATGAGACCTTTTTTGTACAATCATATTGAAACCCAAAAGATCTCTTGCGTACCTCTCCTTCTTCCGGGTGTCAGACCAGTGTCAAATCTGTTCCGAAACAACAGCAGAGTTTTATTAGTTTTGACTTTGATACATATTGGCAAACATACATTTTATAATAAGTATGAAATTTTACGTAATTTATTCGTCTTTAGTTATTTGAAAATTGATAGGGGTTTGAATGAACATCAGACAAAAAGGCAATGATTTATTGTTGTTTGAAAGTTATCCTTTCCACTGAACTTTATGCTGTGTCATAATTCTGGTAATTAGAGACAATTTATATTTTTACACATAGTACCTGACAGACTGAGGTCTGGCTATAACAACGTCTTGGGTAACCTCAGCAAATTTCATGACATGCTAAAAAGGGATATCGAAAAAAGTACATTAGCGGGTACAAAACAAGCTATTTTTCAGGTAATTGAATATACAATGTTTACAAAACATTTTTCATGATCCTGGTATGTTGCCTTAATCTCCATGAATTTCACGGTAGCTAAGGGGACTGTTCAGAGGGTCATAGGTTTGAATCCTGTCAGAGACTTACATGTAAGATTTCTTTTTTTCTGTCCCAATTTGCAATATGCTGATTATTGCATCTTTCAAATTCATTTACTGAGCTTAAAATCTACCATCTATCTTTATTTCATACTCACCACACTCTCGTCATAATCATCTGCATTTGGGTTTAAACAAACAACCATCCGAACCTGAAAAAGTTACACACTTGGTCAATAACTTCAAACTGCAGTAAAATTAGTGAGTGCACATCTTTAAATCTCACCTTCCCTTCTCCATCAAAAAAATTCTTAAAAAGATGTGTCAGTTTGGAGTCCCTGTAAGGAACAATCTGAAAACAAAGAAAACAATAAAATTATGAAATGTCCTTCTACTTTTTGAGCGAAAAATCATTGGGCCATCCTATTCTACTATCATAAGCAGCTGCCACCATGGCAAGACAAATAAAAGCCATACGTTTGTACATACAAACCTTTGGCGAAATACCATTTTGTACATTTCCCTGATTTTCTCTCAGAACCTCCATACATGTTCTTAATGTCATTAAGGATGCATTGATATTACCTATGAAAGAATGGGAAAGGCAAGAGATAAAAAAATAATCTACTGAAGGTGATTTGATGTGATTTCACTTGCTGCAAAGTAAAGTACCTGCTTCTCTGAGTCTGTCTCCACCAGCTCTTGTTCTGTTGGTTCTTTCTGACCCTGCCAGATCACATAATGACAGAGTACTAACCGCAATCTGGTCTTTATCCTAAATGGATGGAACCAATACAAAGACAAAGGATTACAAAGTTTCTTTCATAGAACTACCACCCACCTATATTACCACCCAAACGTAAGCACCCCACAAATGTGATCTGAATCCAAGGCTGTTAATCATTATATCAAGACCACAGGCTGAAGATTTCTCCTTGAACTGGAAATCACCGTGAACAAACCAGACAAACAATCTTCCAAACAAAATAGGTGCCCTCTTCTCTTTATCATATTAGCAACATTGTCTAATATTGTTCAATTCAAATAGTTGAATTAGATATGGATGCTGAAAAACTTACTTGTAAGACCTCTTCTCCATCTGGATCCAAAGGAGCTTGCACCAATTTGACAGCAAAAACACTATGACTTCTGCTTGACTCTCGATTCAGTACTGTATTAGCAACACGTCTCTTCTTCTGGCCTGTATCCAAAGTTCAAAATAATAAGTACATAATGTCAGGGTTGTCACCAAGATTTCAAGTTGCCGGGTAAATACAACAAGTAGGCGGGGAATCAAATGGCCAGGGATTTCTTTTGGTTCTATTTTTCTTCTATTTTCCGATAAAAGTAGCCGGGGGCTACTCTCTTAGTAGCCTGGGAAAATCCCCGGCCCCCGGCTCTTAATGACAACCCTGACATACACCATAAGATGTGACAGAAAATGTACTATTTACAGTCTATTGGAACACTTTTCTCACCTACTGGTAACTTCTGTCTACATGCATTGGAATAAAAGTCAGTATCATTTTTTACTCTCCTACTAATAATTAGTGGACAGATCTAGAGTTGTGTAGAACAGTCTAGCATTTATAAGTACTAGCAAGAGGAAAGTCAATGCTTTTAAGTACTTACAGTTGACCTAGTGAGGTATTTAATTCATTTTATCAGAAGCATATGCTTCTGAATTTTTAGAGTGCATCTTATTATAGAAATTAAATTAAATGTGAATTTGAAGATAAATTTCTTGTCCAGTGAAATATATTAGTGTGAAGGAGGGAGTAGAGTTTCAGGTGAGAGAAGTAAACCCAATTTAAACAGTCAAAGAAACACAAATTCTCCCCACCTTCAGCACACATGACATCATTGAAACACAGTAATAGAAAATAAGGCATGAAAATAAAGACTCCAACCTGAAAATTATAATATTTAACAGGAACAAAAAATTTAAGGTAACTTACTGTAAATTGATGCCAACTTTTGAAATTTGCACAAATCATTTCATGAAATAAAACAATAATATTATCCTTTCACCTTTCCAAAAGATACTGTAAGCTTCTTCTGTACTTTTGACTTCAACCTCTGTTACCCCACTAACATACATATTGCGATTATTATCTTCTCTCAGATTTTTTGATGCTGGTGGTCTGTGAATTAATACCAAGACACTTTGAGTAACATAGTAAAGAATAAAGGGGCAGGTTCCAAAGAACCTGTGGTATAGCTTTAGTGGGTGGTGAAAAACAGGTCAAATTGAAAGAAATGCTGAAATGCTGAAATTTTTCAAGAGTAAACTGCCAATTATAAGCCCTGAACTTTAAAATGAGGTTAAGATAATACACTTATTTAACTTAGTTGGCTTGGCATGAGCATGGGGTTTGCATTTGTTAGCGTTTTATTTGGCGAGGTGGCAGTTATCCTATATTATGGTGTTTTTGCCAGGGTTTACGTTACTGAACTGGGCCTGTTGCGGGGCAATTTCCAGTGCCCCCTGGGTCAGCAGTTTACTGTTGTAATTTATGTGTGTACATTTACATGTGCTTGTGGTTTTACATTGCCTCGTGTTCGGGGCGTCTTGCTCAGTTTTCTTTTTTTTTCTCAGAGTTTGTAGGGTGTCTTATTCAGTTTGGAGTTCTTTACTGTTTTTATCGCCACATTGTGCTGTCATGTGGTACTCGTGGGTTGGCCCATTTGTTTGTGGTTTTTTCCAAGTTTTCAGTGGTCCACCTTGTGATCTACATCCAATAGCTTGTTGGCAGGTTTGTTGCCAATTTTTTCTAAGTCAACTCCTCCATCATCTGGGGATTCAGTGGCAGTCACAACGGCTTCATCGGGAGCATCAAATTCACTTCCAAACAAGATCACGGTCATGGTGGCCCATGCACTTCAACATTCTTTAATGACTTTCGTCTCAACCCTTTGTGCAGACAACCATGCGCCTCTGGTTTCCAGTGCAGCTCCTTTTCCTCAGTGTTGTTTCCAGCTCAGTAATGGTTGCTGCCAGCTCACTTGCCTCCACTTCAGGTACGTTGAGACTACCTCCATTTGTGTCTATGTTCACCACCACTTTCACCATCAACAGCTCTTGCTTGGACGGCCTTGCTCAATCGATCACTGCTCCAATTATGGTATCACATGCTTCCAGCCTCTTTTTGGCAGCGACAGTTTGGCCTCACTGTGCGACAAGGCACTTGTAGTGGGCCCCGGTCATGCGCCCTTTCCTGAGAAACTGGTGAAAAATTACTAGCGCCAACTTTGTGGAGTTAGCAGGCTTATTGTTGGCAAATCTCAATGCTGTTGACCAGGAGCCCGAGTCATTTCTGGATGGCAAGTTATTGGTCTCCAAAAAGCGTCAGCTGGTTGAAGTAGACGACAGCCTTACTTATACTGAGGCTCTTACCATCTCCCAAATGGTGATCTGTGCTTCCCATCCCCATCACTGGTCAGATCTGACCAAATACAAGTTGCTGATCATTCAAACTGCCAATAATGTGGTCGTGCATGGCTAGAGTATGACCTTGCCCTTGGGAGGGATGCTGCCGCAACTGGTGCATCTGACTGATCCAGGATGAATTTGGACCTATAAAATTTTCACTTGCGCTCACCAGCTTTCCCCACCTCATGGCTGTCATCCTCCTGCCCATCCACACCAGTGGCAGCTCACCGGGGAAACAGTGCCCTTCCCTTTTAATGTATGACTATCTCATGAAACAGAGGTCGGTGCCTATGACATTTTGGGGACTGCCACTTCTGCCACATCTGCAGCTCATGTGACAGAGACCATCTGAGGGTATGCTGCCCATTTCATTCCTTTGGCACCAATTGTCTCGCTCCCTCTCCCCTGCAGCGGGGAGGTACTGAAGGGGTTCAGCCGTCTACAGTGATTCCTGTAAACAGTATAACGTTCCTGTTCGCCCTGACCAGCCTTGTGGACTGCATTGCTTAGCGCCTTTGTTTTGTTCTAGTTCTGTAGATTCTCCTGACATGTCTGTTCCTGTCCACTCATTTTCATCTTTAACACTTGTACATTTAGTGTCTCCATTACAGTTTTCTCAGTTCCAAGCAGAACATCACTTCAGGCTGGGTCAGCCAAGAGGTCCTTCAGGAGGTAGGCGGGGGCTCATGGCTAGGTTGCAAGTAGGGCACGCTTTTGGGGTGTTCATGCTACCTAGGTTAGGGGTCGGCAGCTCCAGCCTCCAGGTTCCTAGGCACCCAATCTCCATGTGCGACTTACACGTTAAACCTTTGTAAGAGGTTTTAGGAGGGCTTATACATGGAGGGGTTTAAATACAAAAGATTAAGTGGGCTTATAAATGGAAAGGAAAATCGCTTAGAAACAAGCTATATCAGTGCTGATAAAAAGAGATTTTGAATTTACCAGTTTTAGTTGAGCTCAAAGTACTATAATAAATCAATTTTAATACAAGCAATAGAGGGGCTTACAACAGGATGTGTTTATTGTTTACAGGTAGATTGGTCTGATAACCACTACCAATGCTTTGAAAAATTAAACTATTTATGTTTACAAATGAAAAAGAAAGTTTCTCTTGCCATATCAGACAAGTTACTACTGATGTTCACTTAAGACTAACTGGTACCTCTGAGTAACTACAAACTACATGTGGAAAGAGGGTTTACTGAGACCAAAGTTAGAGAGAGTCAACGTGGATTTGATAAAGAAAAACTATCGGCCTGTCAGCAATCTCACATTCCTTTCAGAGATCACTGAAAAGGCAGCTGCACTACAAATCTCTGATCACGTGTCATTCAATCAGATGTTTCCAGAAGTTCAATCAGCCAATCGTAAATATCACAGCACGGAGACTGCCTTACTGCACATGCGCAACGACATACTTGTCAGCATGAACAAACAACAAGTCACATTACTACTGTTCCTAGATCTAAGCACTGCCTTTGATACAGTAGACCATGATATATTACTGCATGCGGCGCCTGGAATACAAATTTGGAATTAAAGATCAAGCAGTAACGTGGTTCAAATCCTATCTGTCGAATAGATCCCAGCGTATTGTAATCGGCAGTGCAAAGTCAGACGGTTTTGATCCGAAGTTTGGTGTGCCACAGGGTCCTGTCTCAGCTCAATGCTGTTCTCCCTTTACACTAGTGAGCTTTTTTATGTCATTAGCCAGCACTTGCAAACAGCGCACAGTTACGCTGATGATACCAGTATCTATTTGGCATTCAATCCAAACAATGATCCCGATCAAGACGCCACCATTGCAGCAATGAAAGCGTGCCTCTGTGACATCCGTAGCTGGATGATCAATGACAAACTCATGATCAATGATTCTAAGACTGAGTTTATGCTCATTGGGACGAAGGCACAGCTACAGAAAACTAAAAGCGCTACTCTAACTATTGGCGAATCCATCATCTCTCCCAGCATGGAACCCCTTGGAAACTTAGGGGCCTGGTTTGACTGCCATTTCAACCTGAATTTTAGCATAACCAAAACTTGTAGGAGTACTTTTTTTCATCTACACAATATTAGACGCATCAGAAAATTATCTAAGCATAGAATCTGCCGAGAAATTAGTCCACGCTTTCATCACAAGCAGATTGGACTATTGTAACTCACTTTTATACGGACTACCCCACTGCGCCCTCACTAAACTGTAGCATACTCCCTTAAGCGATTTCTTCAAAAAACTCCTGTTCGAAAGGCAGCTGCAAGAGTTCTATATCTAGCACCAAGGTATTGCCATATCACACCAATATTATACAAATTACACTGGCTGCCTGTAACATTTAGAATGGAATTTAAGATTATTATAATCACTCACAAAGCAATCCATGGAACACCTTGTAATTATTTATCATCTCTCATTAACTTTAAACCTAATTCTTCCTATAGCCTCAGATCAAATAACAAATAACTGCTTTCAAATCCAAACTTTAGGACTCTCCCTACTCTTGGTGACTGGAGCCTTTGTAGCCGCTGCACCAAAACTGTGGAATAATCTTCCATTAGATCTTAGATGCACCTCCGATTTTGAAGTTTTTAAACGTAATTTGAAGACTCACCTTTTTAAAAAAGCTTTTTCTGATATAATGTTGTAATTTATAGACTAGATAATTATTCATTCGTGTAATTTTTAATTGAAAACTGTATAGCTGAATTTGTGCAGTATAAATAAGTGTCATTATTATGTTATTATTACAACATTTCAAGAACCAAATGTAAACCATGATTAGTTCAAGTTGGGCTAACCCAAACTCTATCCTCTGTGCCTAACCCATACCTGACTTATAACTTGACAAATAAGACTCTTGACAAACTTTCTGCAACATTTAAAACTATCCAAACTTTTTTATGGACTTACTTTGGACAGATGGGGTCCACTGGAGTCTCATCAAGAAGATCATAAACATAATTGTTATAAATTTCAAAATAAGAGACAAACACTGCATAGCTGTTGTCTTCATCCACCTGCATTCAAATAATTAGAAAGAAAGTTAATCCAAAACTACATGTTAGAACAACTACCCAAAAAGTTCATTCACTCACGTCATTGACAATCCCTGTTTCAGGGACTCTTATTACATCAGCAAAATCATTATCAGCATTTCTGAAAGCAAAAACAAAATACAAAATCTAAAGCAACTCAATTATACCCCACACAAACTTTGTTAATTCACTAGTTATATATGAATAGGCTTGTACGTACAGATGTCTATTTCAAACTTGATCTACCAGCTTTTTACTACTATTTTGGCGCACACAGCAGCTGTAAATTGTTTCTTAAAAGGACTGATATCTGGCTAAGCCACCACGTCAGACAAACAAACTGAAATTGAGTTTAGGTTGCCAGTTGGTCAAAAGGTCAAGGTTGTTGCCTAACATTTGAACAACAGGGCCCAGGACAAGACAAAAAAAAACTTTGACAATAATTTTACTATTTATTGTACCTATTTCTTGATCCTGGCATTGGAGGTGGGGCCTGCAATGCAGCTTCTTTTTCACGCCTTTCTCTTTCCAGCTTAGCTTCAAGTTCAGTCTGTATTTCAATACCATTTGTTTTGTCCGGTTTGAAAACCTTGCAGGAGGAATTTAAAGACAACATAATTGTAACAAATACAGCCACGTCATCCTGCCTACAACAGTAGGCAGAATATTAACCAGACTGTTTTTAGCAGGCGGCAAAGGCCAAAATCTTAAATGTCATTATTAAACTTTGTCTTACACATAAATGTTGAGAAGCCAGCAAACATGATTAATTTTATAACAGCAAGGACATTCGCCTGAAGAAATTCAATAGCATGAGCATGCTCTCATATCCCCATTGAGCATGCTGGTGACATCAACAAGCTAAAACCTCTAGTTCTTTTGAGCTTAGCAATCCCCCCAAGTGCACTCAAAACTCACTTGCTACTTATTAGTTATTTTAGGAAGCCAACTCCACTTTTAGCTTTTATTTTTATTGGATGTAAATTTCATCTCTCGTGTGTGTAACGGCTCAATAAATGTTGTTGCTGTTGTTGAACTTTTTACCACGAGTTTTATACTGTAATCTAAAAAGAACAACTTTTGAATTTGTTAACAAGGTAAGTGATTGTGTGTTGTGTTGTCATCTGTGCAAGCTATGGCATGTGCAAGTCATTCTTTGCACAGTTTTTTGTTCAAAAAGAATTTTTGGCAAGCTGGAAAGCCTCACTGTTTACTCCAGCTGGTCTTCAAAATGTTCTTAAAGCTGGTCCAATACATTTATTAACTGGTAACCAGTTCCTGGTAACCTCACCGAATATAGCTGGTTCAAAACTTACATATTTAGGTGCTTGCAGCTCTCCAATAGAGTTAAAGATAACATCTAAACATCTTGGAAGCAAGCCGCTGTCACTTGGTGTCCCAGTCATAGTGTGTGTCTTTCCAGAGCCAGTAATGCCATATGCAAATACTAAGCCTGTGAGTAAAAAATATAGAAGAGCCAACTACATACAGTATTACAGCTGTAGCAAAGTTTCAAGTTCATATTAGATATAAACTTTAATTGATATCTGACTGGATTTATGAAAACATGGCTTCAGTGAGTGTCTAAAGGTACTATGCTAAGTGCGTCCTTGATACCAAGACTTTAACCCTCCCCACCCAGGACAGTGGGTGAATGTCTGCACCTCCCACTGAGCTCTGCAATTATCATGATAATCATTCTCAGCAGAGGCCTAATTCAGCGGGCTGGGGCAAATTAAGACCAAGGTACTCGCCCGTCAAAGCCTGCACTGAACACTGTTGCTTACTGAAGGGATTGTGTCAAAACAGCCCCCTCCCTACCCCACTTGTTTTGACCCCAAGGCCTGATCCACCCACCCACCCACTGTTAGGGCAGTCCCTGGGCTATCAAGCTGTACCAACCAAGACGTCAAGCGCCCTACATTTTTGGGCACCGGACTGGCCTGGAGGCGAAAACCCAGTGGCCACCTTTTAACGAAATCAGACAGATATGTTTATTAATAAATGATTATTTTGGAGATCAGAAGTAAAAAACTCCTTACCATTTTTCCCATGGACAACATCATCAACTAAAGGCATTGCTACATTGTCAAACAGCTGCTTCTGGGTTGTTTTTTCATCATAAACCTTTTGGAAGGTATGCTGAGTCTGCCAGAACATTTGAGAGGAAAAATGTAACGTGAGTTTAAGGGCAATAAATGTTGTTTTAATTTAGTATTGTAATACACTTATCAAGTAGGCTGACCAACTGTAAGAAAAAAATATCAGAATACGATCAAACACTTAGCCATCAAACGCCACATACAGCAGCCTGCTCCAAGTTGTAGAAAGTTATTACATAAGTTAGGTCACATTAATTACCTCTAGTCTGTGGCCAGATTTGTATCCCGCTGAATTCTGCAAAACAAGGCATTTACATTATCTTGAGCCTTACATTTGACTTGACAAAGAACTGTTATATTTATTAGCCAAGGGCCGCCATGAACAATCTCCTTGGGGATGGAGATAAGTGGTCCTTGAAGAGAGGTGGCCACTTTGGGGAGTGTGATGTGACACCAATTTTTTGGGTTTCATGGCGCACCTTTTTTTTCCAACATGCTTACTATGTTAAATTAAGACAAGTGTGCTTTATAGAATCAACAAAATATTTAAAAAAAAAAAAGTATTAAAGTTGACAAAACAAGCAAGTCAAGCACAGTATTAAAGTACACTGGCTTATAATAATAATAATAATAATAATAATAATAATAATAATGATAATAAAAATAATACGGGCGAAGAGCTTGCCAGAGGGACTAACCAAGCCACTGATGCACGCCTTGACATCCACTGTACGGGGTTTCTGGGAGCGACAGAGGGCTGCATTTTTCAATATAAGGGTGTGTCATCCCAATGCACACTCGTATAGAGATCTTAGCCCTAAGCAAATCTACAGGATTCATGAAAATGAAAAGAAGCGAAAATACAACTCCTGCGTCACAGAAATAGAGCAAGGCACATTCACCCCACTAGTATTTATAACGACCGGAGGGATGGCTGACGAATGCCCAAGATACCACTCAAGATTAGCTGAGCTATTATCTGCAAAAAAGCAAGAGAGCTACGCCACAACAATTTCATGGGTCAGGGCGAAAGTGTCCTTTGCAAATTTGCGGAGCGCGCTGCTATGCCTAAGGGGATCGAGAACCCCGAGAAGGAGGAACTTCGATGTTAAGGACAGGGATCTAGAAATAGAGAAGGGTCAAGCAGGACTTCCCTAGACTCAACAGCTATAGATGCTTTATTAATTGTCTTTATTTTATTTCATTTTCGCGATGAATTGGAGTCAGAAGAATCAAACATTTCCATTTTCTTGCGACTCCGCTTCCAATTCCTTCTCTAATGTTCCACTTAAGATCTAGTGAAAACCACACTGTCGGAGTCCAAAGCAGAAGCAGAAGGATAAACCAATCACAATGCACGTTCCTGTGGTTTGTGATTGGTTTAGTTCTTCTGCTTCTGCTTGCGACTCCGACAACCCAGTTTTCTCTTGAACGTAAATGACAGAGTTTTTAAGCGGAATCAGTCGAAACAGAATTCTGTTTTCACTAGATCATAAAGTTATATGCTTCTGATTGCGACTCTGACTCCTGCGAAATACTCTTTTAAAATAATTAAACAAAAAAATACCTTTGGTGCGGTGAGTTGTAATATCGTGTCACTAATGATTTGTACACAAGACTCTTCTTCATTGTCTCCAAGAGGTCGAATTCGGCAATAAACCTGTAACGTCAAAAATCAGCATTGTTTTATCCTTCACAAAAATGCATGCAGTGAAGAGGCCATGAGAAATTTACAAACACATACCAGGCCAAATACGACTTCCAAATCACCTCCTCATAAGATGACATATGGTCATCATTTACATTACTTATCGACTTTTGGTGTGATGAAGTCGAAGTGTATTACCAATAAATGCCGGGCTGGAAAAAGAGCAACGTTCCTGACAAATTTTAGTAGAACAAAACAGAAACCCGATATGTTGATTCTGGGATCGTTTCAGGGATCAAAACACTGCTAAACTGGAAAACCAATCTGTTCCGATTTATTTGCCTTAGTTGTAATATAATAATAGTATTTCAGGATGCCTTTTCGTGTGAAAAACATAATTAAAGGCTTAGGCTTATATGCATCTAACATACATCATGTATAAACTTAAAAATGCAGTGTAGGTTGTACCACAAAATAAATTAAAATCAACACTCTGTAAGACCACCTAGTTAAGCTATAAGCCGCTTGACAACTCATCTACTGAAACCGACTCTATAAAATTGAAACCTGTGACCTATGAAAAATAACGATATCTTCTTGCTTCTATACCTCCACGGGATCCTTCAACTTGTTGACCGCCGGTCTTCTAGGTGTCTTGCCACCGCGCGGGGTCTTCGTCGAAGAAGGGGTTTTCGGACTAAACGAAAGATGCAAGTTAGTTTACTTTTGAATGTCAACATCAATCCACAAAATGTGATTCTTACTTACGCTGGCTTCATGGTCACTGCAAACAGATGTTCTTCACCATGGAAAATCACGAAAATGTTTCCGAACAACAGCTCGAAAATCAATATGTCGGACAACAATATTCTTGAATCAAACCGCCTTGAAGGTCTTAGTTTGAAACAACCAATCACAGAGTGAGCTTAGGGACATAAGGGTGACGTCATTGTAACTTCATGCGCATGCTACATAAGGAAACCGCTGTACGATCTAATTGGTAAGGCAGGGAAGGGCAGGATTTAACCTTGCTGACGACAACTCTCAGTTGGTTTTAGGAGTGGGTGTTTAGTTAAAAATTATGAAATCGCATTTACAGTGACCTGCGCGCAAACAGGCGTTTGAATTTTTCTTCTGGAGGGGGGAAACAGTCATACTCCCTCCCCGCGGAGGGGTACAGGAACAAAATATATAAAATGTCGGCAAGGAACAACCCTGAGGAAACATAAAATAATAGAAAAGAGGGTATAATCGCCAGCTACGTAATTTACACTTAAGTTTCTGATAATTACCGACATTTCAATTTCGGGCGTTTAATGGCTCACTCAGTTCCAAGCAGTAAAATCAGCTTTTGCTTCTTTTGCTCGTGCATAAATCTGCTCCTGACCACAAAGGGGCATCTCCATGAATCTACTCAAAAAAATCACATTGCCCGATAAATGCCCATGGGCAATTGTCACCCTTGAATCAATTTCCGATTTTTTTATTACTATGTTTAATTCGCACAAATTTTGGACCCTTTGCTGAAAACTTAAGCAAATTTACGCCGGCAAACAGGAATATTTCAGGGGCACCCAACGGCAATTTTCGGAAATATCTGTTCGGAAGACGATTTGAGATCTAGAATTTTCGAAACATTTGTTGTAAAATTACTCGCTTGCCTGCCTCTCCTAGGATTTCCGAACATCTACAAAATGGTATAATTACCCATTTTTAAAGGATTTTCACCCTAAAAAAGGCCACCTAGAATTTTCGGGAGCCTTTTCCTGGCTGAAATTTTCGAAAAGGTAAATTTTGATCCCTATAATTTTCGGATCACTGGACTTTCAGCTGGGAAATCCGAACAGATGAAAAGTTTTTAGGGGATAAAAATATGCCTATATCTACCGTTTAAAGACTACAATACGTTCAACAATGCTATGTTAACTGGTTTTGAACTATATCCTCGTTGGGTGCCTCTGATATTTTAACTCTGAAACAAAATCTGTGTAAAGAACAGTTTTACTGTACCCCAAATATTTTACAGCCACGCTGAAGAAAAAATGACAACTTGAATTCGACTACTGTAATATTTTTATTCTTATGAGTTTTGATATTTTGATCCTTTGTATCACTAGCTAGCTCGCGTTTAAAGAAGACTGCGAGCGGTCTCTTATTTTTCTTTTGGGCACAGTAGAGAGCACGCGCGATGGGACTAAGAGGCTTAGCCTCGAGGAACGAGGGCTCAAACTCTCCTCGCTTTTACCAATTAATTTAATATGTCATCAGCGCCCTTCGCTCTCGCTTTCGTTTGCTTGCTTCGCTCACATGTTTACCAAATTCACTGGCTCATTAAATTACACGAAAAACGCGCAAAGGAGGAAATAACCTGTGTGGACTGTTTTTGCCCTTGCTGCTCTATATCAGTTCATTCTCATGCCATTTCTTTGAGATTAAACACACACACTGATTAAAGGATCTCCAGAGTGTATTTTATACTTGTCGACATTTCACAAACTTGCTATAAATTATTTCAGTTTCTCCAGTGACACTACATGGATTATCTTTGTCCTCATACATTTTTTTAATATGGATTAGTTTTCTTCTCTCTTTGGCGTCGTCATTAATTCGCCCGGATAAATCGGTGAGATATGGTTGCGTTTTTCATCGTGTGAGTTTGCTCTGGACGGCTCACCAGGCACAACAGGCAAATGAGGTTTCACCTCGGGTTGCACCAGAAGTGTATTGTAACCAGGATTAAACCTAAATGAAGTCTGCACCTCATTGCAGTGAATGTCAGTTTCTTGTGTTAAAGGAGGCGCGGACGCTTTATATGACGGTTGAGAGCCTTGTTGGGGGTGTCCTGGGGGGAAACGTTTCACCGCCCCCATGGGGAGCTGAGTATAGGAGACTGGAATTGCATACGTATGAACAACATTTGGTGCGGTTCGCTCGAGGCTGACTTGTGAACCGTTGGTGGCATGACAGCCAGTGCTATAATAGGTTGTCCTGCTTGGTGCGTTTTGCTGGAACAAACGCATTGAGTTGCCTTGACGATGGTAACTCGTTGGTAGTTGATGGATCTGGTCTGTTGAAGGCGGAATCCAAAATGAAGCTGGAAGGTTGCGTTGAGACATAGGAACAGTCGGTCTCCCTAAGGAAACAAAAAGACAAAGAAACATACTGCGAAATATCATAGGATTGAACAGAAAAATCGACAAGACATGGGAGAGGCGGACCCTGTACTTTGACATCTTGTCACGCGTACAGCTACAGAAACTTAATCAGTAGAACGAAAACAGCGAAATAAAAACTGACTTCAGTAATCAATTGGGCTTCTCCATTCAAGATTTGGAGGGGCATTCTAAAACTTCCCGAGAAGTAGGATGAGGTGTCTGATAGCGGAAGTTGACTTAATATTTCATTTATGCAAATTTACTTGCATGGAAGAGTTTTAGTGGTGGTTTGGACACAGCCAACTACTGTTGGTGCCCGTCCACTTTGATAAGTGTCAAGTCATTGCATTTGGCGTCGAAAGTGAATTTGGCTCCAGAAGTTCTTTTTGAGCTAACTCTAGCTATTTAAAACCGCATCCAGGAGACTGCTGATCAGCCTCGATCAAGCCTAATTTCTTAGACGGTCCGATCGCCCTCAGACTACAGATTTAAGCTAAGTGCAAAAGGACGCAACAACACCCGACATTGCTGTCCCAACAATGTTGGGAGTTGTTGCGTCCGTTTGCACGTAGCTAAACGTTTGACCGGTTTCAAACTTTGCAACAACTCCCAACAACACGCAACAACATGCAACAGGGTGTGCAAACGAATGCAACATGTCACATCCAACAATGTTGCGTCCGTTTGCACGGGGCTTTATTAATTAACCTATGTTGTCATAGGTTCAGGCTGCAATGTAAGCGACCACACCCAAAAGCTTGCGGGAGCAAGGTGGTGGTCTGTATCGGAAACAAGTCTGAACCATCCCCATCTTCAACAGACACTGAGTTAACCATAGGAAGTCTCCTACACCGTATTAAAAGGATGTCAGAATTGAGCGGGTCAAGTAATTCAAGTCAATAACTGATACACCTGAGAAGGATCACTGAGACCACGAGTCAAGTGACAGCTCACCTGAGGACGGTCTGGCTCACAACAGGTTCCAACTATAGAAGTGGATTGATTGGGAAAATTTCCATACTTTGGGCAAGTGATTGCGTAAGAGAAATGTTCGCGTATGGGTGGTGATCACAAATGGGTGTTCGACATTATTAACTGTCTCGAGAAGGTGAGAAAAGATATTTACATTTCTCGGACTGTCTTGAGAAGGTGAGAAAAGATATTTACATTAATGTAAATATCTTTTCTCACCTTTTAATTTCGAGACAGAAATTTCTCACAGTTACTCGGTAGGAAGAAGCACGCATTCGTTTATTATTGACACGCCACCTTCGATTTCCTTTTCTGAGATAAAACAGGATTTTACCGCGAGAAAGTTTCTCAACAAATTTTTTACTTCCCTCTGCAAATTCTTGTAAGGCTAGCTTAAGAAGCTACTAGAGCTCAAGATATTTGTCACAGGAAATTTTGGGAAGTGGAATATAAGCAGTTTTGTGAAGAGAAAGATAAGCAAAGTTCGAAATAAACTTTGATCGACAATTGAAAGTGGATTATGTTCTTATGCAGCTAGCGTTCAAGAAGACGAGAGTAAAATTGAATTGCAAAAATATGCATACAATATTGAACTGAATTTGAAAGCAAATGTACCTTGCAGATGTGATCCATCAACACATTTTTCCGCACCAGATGGCAAGCAATACAGCTCTGAAAAAGTCCGGTTGAAATGCTTGTCGACTTCTACCGAGGAGTCTCCCTGGAAATAGAGCAAGACAACACCTCTTGGGCTGTAATGTGTTTGGACAATATCTTGCTCGGCGCTGCAAGCGGGAGCTACTTCAGCTGTTTGCTCGTTTGGAGTAAATTGTTCGTCTGTGCTGTTTGCAAGGCTGCTCGGTGGACCGGGTCTGAGGTAACGGCTGCCTCCAAGTTCAGGCTGTTGCATACTGGTAATGGATAGTTTTTCGCAGTAAAACTTACGGCAAGCAAGTTTTAACACAGTTAGGTAAAAAGGAAATGCTCTTGCAATATTTATAGCGATAGTTTGAGCTTAATGCCGGGAATGAGGCAAACAAAAATGTTATGAGAGGTACACGTGTTAACTTAGATTTTCATATGGGAAATGATCACCACTGCTATAAAGTGTAGCGCCAATTGTTTGAAAAAACTGCACGCATGACGATTGTGCGTGCTATCGAAAACCCGTATTTTGCCATTCAAATAAAGAATCTATATTCCAAACTTTTGTTCGTTGTTATTGTGTTTCTGTTGCTTATATTCCCTTGCGTCTATGCATGTTTTTTATAACGTGGCCAGTCCTCTCACAAATGGGAGGGGCGAAGTACGATATATGTTACTTTATATTTGTTTTCTAACTACCACGAATAAATTTACATAGCTGATGAAAGAAAGAAACTTGTTTCAAGAGCTAATATACGCTCCTGGCCCAGCTCATCATCGTAACGACCCAGTTGAGAGCGCTGCGGCGATTAAATTTAACAACTTTTTTTAAAATTCAAAATTTTTCGTATTATTGCCTTGCATATTTTATTTTTTACCTATCAGTACAGATAGCGTTTTGAGCACTTTTCTCGATACGGCTTTCGCTGGAGACAATACCAACAGTTTCCATCGCATTAGGGGATGGAGCCATTTCTCATTCAAGTCACTATTTGTTTCACTATTTGCTTTCACTAATTTAAATTTTTTTAATACCGTTGGCATACTAATATCGACTTTTTTCAAAAATAATGTCCTACCTGAAATTCCCAATAAAAAACCATGCAGTTTGTGGAGTAAAATTGGTTTTCAAACGGCGTTTAAAAGTGTCGGTATGGTATCAAGCTGGGTAACAAGCCGTTTGAAAAAGTTGCTAAATCATGGGGTCAAAAGTTGCTCAAAAGCTGCCCAAAATAAAAAAAAAGGTTCCTCCTGAAAAGTTCAAGACTCGTTCAGTTATCAACATAAATCACTTAGTTCACAAACCAGCTTTAAACAACATGCTCTTAAGTTGTGATCACAAAATCAAACACCACCGTCCTCTTAGAACATATGCATACGATACTCATGTTCAACCTCGTGTTGGTTTTTTAATCGTCTTGATTATAATTATAATTAATTAGTAATTATTTTTATTTCAATTATTCATTTATCTTTGAATGTAAATTTTTTCCATTTAATTTTCTTATTTTACCTTATTGCATTGTTACCTCAGTTTCCTGTAATCAGCTTTGTCAAGGGCCATAATGTTCCATTATGGCTCTTGATAATGACCGGTCCTAATTAAGGTCTGTGAAATTAAAACTCGTGTGGGGAGGGGTACTCAATAAATGTTTATACGGGGAGGCTACGCAACGAGGTCTAAGTCCTTACCCTTTTTTCACTAAAAAGGTACCCCTTTCATATACCTTCTATTGAAAAATGGTACCTCATCGTTTCACAAGTACCTTGTTTAGAAGTTTGCTTCCCTTGTAACTGCTGTAAATGCGCTGTCTTTTAAATAGGAATCAATCACAAAAATAGAACGTTTTCTCGGCTTTATAAAGCTATAAAATTTATCTGTTAGCCCTTTTGGGTCCTTTCACTGACTCAAATAACAGATTTCCCTACAATTTATATACTTCAACTAGTGACATCCCTACCCTTTCATATACCTGAAGCCTGAAAAAGATACCTCTTCCGGGCGGAGTCTCCCTGTATGAGCCATCATAGGGGGTACCACCCCCGGGAATAAAAAGAATAATTTATTCATTTCCTATGCCGCGGGAAAGCCTGTTAATGTGGCTAGGCCTTTCCCGATTACGCTGAGCACCTTTTGAGCACTTTTTTGAGTTTGGAGCACTATTTTGCATTTTGAGCACCCTTAAGCACTTTTTCGCACTTTGGGCAACATTTGAGCAATATTTCACATTTCGAGCAAATTTCGAGCAACATATGTCTTATAAAACATTTTAAAGTAAAAACTGTGTGTCGCTCGCAACGAGAATCGTGTTCCAGGTCATTAATTTGAGTAACTAATGATGTTGTCAAGAATAAAAGACCGTTGTCATGGAAAGGCACGTGGACTTATCCTCACTGAGCGTGAGTACAGAAGTTTCTGATTGGCTGATGTATCATGCGTGTGTCATCTCAAATTTCTAAATCATCTGATGCTAGTACTGCTGAATTTATTTACATTTTGTAGCCGGCGTTAGTTTTTTAAAAATCTTATTGTTCTATATTCTATCAGCCTTTCGTAACAACCTGTCGAATAACACTACGCAAAATAGATTGTCAATTACTTCGCTAAAAATTGACATATTTACGAAATGGTTAGAGGTAACTGTTCACAACTTTTAGCACTTTCTGAGCACTATTTTGAGATTTTGAGCACTTTTTGAGCACTTTTTAGCCATTTTTGCCAGCACTTTTTTAGGATTTTACGAGCGCAATCGGGAAAGGCCTAAATGTGGCCAAGTTTCTGGAAAAACTCACTCTAGCCATATAATCATGGCGGATAATTGGATCGTGACTTACTCCCTCGCGGAAAAGACTTAGGTTCATAGATATCCAAAGCTAATAACAGTATTTTGAAAAATGCAGTGTCTTGAAATATTTCACTGTTAATGTATTGTAAAAAAATTAAAACCCGCTAATATTCTTTAAGGTAGCTCGACCCAGTATTTTTGTAGGTACACCTTCCATCTTCGAACCTCTTAGACTGAAACAAATTTATCACTATTGTATAACAATTATAACACATGTATTACACATAGACTAATCTTTATTATGATATTCTTTTTTGGGCTATCAGAAATAAATATCACGTGACAATGACGTGATCAAATTAAAATGAGAGATTATATGGACAGGCGGGTTACCCCACCTAAGCGGGTTACCTCACCTACGGAGAGTCTCCCACCTCCATGTAAACAGGCCCTGAAATCTTTCCAAAATATGCTAATGTTGTAGAAAGAGGAAAACAATAGCAAATAGATTACCGAGGGCAACCATGCGTGGTGAATTCTCGCGTGCTGCGTGGGCATTTGATGTTGTGCCAGACTTGAGACAATAGGAAATCTCAGAGCAAAAACGTAGCCAGGTCTATGATTTCGCTTCAATATTTGCTCGTTTTGCGCCTACGTTAATACAACTTTTAAAAATTTTAATGGACACGAAATTCGGAGGTTTTATAGAACACTGATCGATTGTAGCACTAAAATTTTTTAAAGAAAATCTATGGAGGAATTTTTGTTTAATCCCTGTTTTCGTGAAAGTAGCTCAACATTGTTTTTCACGGTGATTCACGTGTTTTTCGAAATCGCGCAAGTGTACTTGCGTTTAGCTGGTTGTAGAGTGTATGAGGGTCATTTACAAAACGAACAGTGATAAAACTTTTCGGAAACATCCAAAAAGCGCAAATTTGTCTGCATTAAGTCCAGTTTCAGTTCATGCATAAATTATGTACTTTTTGAAAAAAATCCAAGATATCTCGAAATAGACCTTTTTACCGATACGGCGGTTCGATTTTTAAAAGGAGTATTATAGGATGCCCAGGAGGCATGATCACACTTCGTTTGTATTTTCAGGCGCTTTTCGGGACATTTTTTCTTAAGGTGACTCGACCCAGTTTTTTTGAGGGGGTACCATCCTACTTTGAAGCTCTCTGGTATCCCCACCTTTACTTTTATCGTACGTCTAACACATAGAATGGATAACATATAGATCAATCTACAATATAACATAAAATTTTTGGCGATCGGAGTAAATGTCACGTGGTTATAATGCCACGCCCCTTTGAGATCTGAGTCGAAAATCGGCTGTTGCCGGCATTTTTTTGTGAAAATCTCTCGGCTACACATAGTGCGCATTAGTGCCTTGCGCTGAACAGAGTTTCACCAAAATCGCAAAGACCCAATTGGAGAAATTCAGCGGTTTCCAAATTTAGGTCATAATTTATGCGAAAATGATAAGCAAACTTTACACGGATTATCAGTCTAATAAACCAAGAGATTCATCCCTTTATTTTGGGCATCGTTATAACAGATGGGTCCTTGCAAGTCAGCAAAATGCTTTAGGGCCTTGTAAATGCGCGCGATTTCGAGCAAAGCAAACATATAGAAATTACAGTTTTCGCTATTTGTTGACGTTTGTCAGCGTTTTAGAGTCCTTCTCACGAAAAAAGCATTTTCTTAAAAATTCGTAGTTTTTTTTCCTTCAAATTTTTTCAGGGCCACAATTGATTAACTAACTACCCGGACTCTGAATTTCATGGTCATTGAAAAACTGTGACATTATCTTCTATAAGCTCAAACTTGGGTAAACATTGAAGATTTTTAGCGTTTTGGCTGAGTTTGTGCTTTGGGAGTTGTCTATTGTTTCTAGTCTGTCATTATACAGCATTCTTGATCAGCACGCGTGCAATGACCGTGCTTGGCTGACTTCCGAATGCTCACCGAGATATTATAATTTTGGTACAGTGAGACAGGCCATCGCGTGATACATAGAGGTTTAACTAACAATTTTTAATCAATTCTCGTGCTTCTTGTGTCTTTGCAAAAAAATCAAGAAGTGCTACACACTAAGTGTACTTGCTATTACAAAAATATCATTTTTTCATAGGTTTAATGCAAGCCAATAATTAAACCAACTCGTGACCGGAATATCTCGGTGAGCATTCGGAAGTCAGCCAAGCGTGGTCATTGCACGCGTGCTGAACAAGAATGCTGTATAATGACAGACTAGAAACAATAGACAACTCCCAAAGCACAAACTCAGCCAAAACGCTAAAAATCTTCAATGTTTACCCAAGTTTGAGCTTATAGAAGATAATGTCACAGTTTTTCAATGACCATGAAATTCAGAGTCCGGGTAGTTAGTTAATCAATTGTGGCCCTGAAAAAATTTGAA